ATCCAGACGGCCCACAAGAGACATATATCTGTCTAGTGGCCTCCAAGCTGGTAGAACATGAAAAATGGCATGCCGGGCTCTGCCGGCATGGGAGCCTGGGCAGGTTTCCTTTCGGCAGTTACAACTGGTGGAGTCTTGCTCCTTCGAGTTTTTCTCTTTAACTCTTTGACGCTTTGACCTTCGGTCGACCGGACTTTTCATTGGCTTTCTCGTGGCAATTCGCGTTCGTTGGCGGCAGTCTACCGGCCGCGCCTGATGACTGTTGGTCAGTAAAGCTCCCGTGTGTCAGAGCAGGACGTGCGTGCATGGAATTCAAATGGCCCTCAAGCCTTAGCCGCTTCCAATCTTTACATCAATCTTCTCATCACCTACTCCAGCCTGGAGATTTCTGGAAACCCAGCCCGGTGTGGTAGATTGGACTTTGCACTACGAATTCGTGGCAAAAACGACCGTCGGCCAAAGAGCCAGGCTCCAAACAACGGCCCCACTGATCGCGGAGCCGCCCCTCCGATCGCCCCGGCCTCCGCTCTTCCTTCGATCAGAGCACCGTTGCCAGTGATCAAGACAGCTTGGGTTGCAGCTTCGGCTGGCCCCGGACAGGGACACAAACGTGTCCAGTCCCCAAACTCCCACCATCTCCGACCAAACTCCGGCTGCATCCAGTCTGCCCAGTCCGTCGATCTGAGTGCCATCGCCCCATTTAAGACCCATGTGCCCCATGGGTCTTCTTGATGGAGCGGTGGGCAATTTGTGGTAACCAGAAATCCAGAGTGTGGTCATTAATGTGAGCGATGTCCCAAAGTTATCATCAAACCATGTTGCTCAGCTGTCAAAGGACAGTGACGGCAGGGTGTCCGAAGGATGTCAACCAGGCCATGGTGCTCAGTGTTAGCTCGACAGAATCCGGGCAGTGACGAACATGCAGAGACGGGCAACCTTGAATCCTGAATCCATGTTTCAGTCTAACAGTCTAACATATAGTATGCTATGGTAGAATGATCACCAATTACTCATAAGTCATCCTCTTGGGAGGCCATCCTGAACTATTGTGGCGGAGGTTACATCTACATCCGTTTGGACGCCTAAGCAGCAGAACACCGGGTGTCGGTAATCCTGTTCAGGAGCTGTTCCTTCCACACACTTCAATGGTGGATGGGATGGGCATGGTGCAACATGGTGCAACAATTCTTACAAACCTTTCAGTCAAATTAATTGGCCCATGAGACCAAATGGCGACAGGGGAGCCTTCAGCCTTCAACTCATGATCGAAAAAAGGATCAACAGGGCATCCGATCTGACCCGATCGCATGGCCAGTCGCATGGAGATGACTTGGTTCACCGATCTGGTCCCTTTTTGGACAACGAACCTCACTGAACTAGTTTGGATTGGTGTGCAGGGGGTGTCCGTTCATTGGAAGTGGTGTGTGAGGGTCTACCGATGTGCCAAAGACGACAGACACATTTACATAATTCCCTAGAAATGGATTCTACTAGGTGAACGTTACTAGATGCCATGGCAAATTACTAGGTGCGACTGGCATTTTCTTGTGGTGGATGACATGTGAATGTTCAGATATTTCACCAAATCGTACGGAGTTTTAGCCATCCTCCAGCCACGGTCCGAGTTCAAGTTTGAACAATGGAGACGGGAAAGTGAAAGGAACAGAAAAGGGTTTTTCCAAGCCTCGCTTGTTTTCCTGTCGGGTCCCTTATGTAATTAGGGACTACAGGGGTGTAACTAGGCACTACACGATTGATAGAACCTCTGACCTCCTGCTTGATCAGCCGCCATCTCTTGTGAAGTGGCCTGTGGTTTCTCCTCGCAGGCAAAAACTATTCCGCGCGGATCAAGATCATCCAAAGGAGTTGGCGAATTGCCAACAACAAGGCACCGAAGACCATACAGCTGAACATCGGATGACGTATTCCACTGATGCTGGACATCGGATGGATGAAACAAATTGAAGCTACATTACGGCCCGGTCTAGGTCTAGGTCAGTGGTGCAGGCTAGCAATCTAAGCGAATTGTTGCGGAGCCAGACCTTTTCATCCCACTTCCCCGTGTTTTGGAGGTCGATTTTAGAAGCTAGCTTGTAGTTTCATACCACCCCAAACCGTCTTTTTTGTGGACACGGCACACATGCGAAAAGCTAGAATCTTCTGCACTCGTGGGAGATTAGTTTTCAACCATCAGGGCCTTTTCCTATGGGCAGGTACTGTATGGTCACCATACAGTATGGTCGACTTTCTACCCCGATTCCCGATCGGATGTTGGCTCCGAGCAGGATAAAACAGACGTGGCTTGGGTTTGCTCCGGGCATTCGGTGCACTTCCTCAGCATGAAACATGTGGAGCGTAGCGAAAAACTGCACCATTGGGTCGTTTTGGGTCCTTGATGGGCCCATTTCCTGCCCTCTATCTTTACTATGCGGAAGAGTGACTGCTCAGCTGTGAAGTGGTGAGCAGGGGGAGAACCATGAAGTTAGGGACACTTGTTCTTGCAGAGCCTTCCATGCAGGCCGGCGATGAAGAGGAAGAGGAGGAACAGGCGAAGGAGCAGGATGAGCAGGCCGGAGACGATCGGAGACCACTGGACCTGAATCCAGCATTGGGTTATGTCTTCCTTTTTTGTAAGTTGTATGTTTTCAGGAAGAGCCAGGGTTGAGAAGCTGGTCACAAGCCTTTATGAGTCGGGCCATTTCCCCCAACTTGGTAGCTTGATGAAGCTGGATGATGGAGTCAACTCAAAGTCTGGCACCAATTTCTTCCTGTTGCTTTCCTCTGAGCAAGGCATGTTTGCGTAATCATGTTGGCTCGTCGACTCGCTATGCACGTGGAGTTTACACAAACGTTTTTTCGGGGTTGCCAGACTGCAAGAGTCTCGACTCTTCGAATGGGAGAGTCGAACTTCATCAGGATTCAGACATTTTACACAGGCAGTAGATGCAGTAACAAACTCTTTCGACCCATGATCCAGATTCGATCTGGACTTGTCTGGGCCTTTTGTAAAAGAGCCGTTTCGAACGACGTCAAGGCTTGGACCCGACAACGGTTCCCTCTTTTTCATTTCGACCGGCTTGTTCATTGCGCCATAGGGATTACCGGGACGGGATCTGAAGCGATGCCCCTTTCAGCTGGGAGCCTCATCTGGCTGGTGTTTTCTGGTGCGAACGCTGAAGAAACCGGCAACAGCTCAGGTAGACAAAGCAGCGGAGGGATCCGTTGCAGGTGGGGCTATGTGGGGCTGTTATGTCAAGTCCATGACTGGCAGCCGGAAACGGGCATTTGATGGCTGTGGCTTTGCAGTTTGCACATCGAACCCATGACGTAGGGTTTCCCTCACCTTCTGCAGTGCCCTTGGTCTCAGGGCCTGCCAGAGCTTTCTGAGACCATGATCTGCATCTCCTGTGTATCAAGTAGTCCCTGTTGTCAGACTTGTATCGACACCGCCACTAGCGCTTCCGATTGGTTCGGAACGCTCAGACTTCATCAAGTCCAAGTCAGACGATCTTCCTCTTGGCAAAGATGAAACAGGCTGCACGGTCAGAGTAGCGATGTGTCAGTTTTTCATCCATTTTCTGAGCAAAAGAGTGAGGTCCAGATGACCATAATGGAGGGGTTTATTCTGTTTACAGAGAGTATGTCCAGATTGATCTTGCTTGACTGTCTATTTTAGGAAGGCAAGAGCCATCCCCAGATCCATTCTGGAGCCTGAATGTCTAAGTTCTTCTCCCGGACCTCAAACACCAGCTCTACCATCATGACTAGGACGTCTCGAAATCCATTGTTCCTGCAGCCGTTGGTGAAGAGGGCCACTGGCGCCACGGGCGCCGGAAACGGGGCGACCCAAAAAGAGACTTGCTGAAACAGATGTACCAACACGGACAAGCATTTTTTGTATCATGTTATTCATGAATGTATATATATATTAATGTACAATATACTATATATAAATATACTGTTTGCATATAATATAACAAGAAAACACATAATACTCATACTATCAATCTATTTGTATATACAACACCAAAACATGTTATATATATATATATACCTAGAACACCTACAAAGCAGCCGCATGTGGATCCGTCGGCGTCCAGGCCGCAGCCGCTCCAAGTTCAAGTCCGAGAGCTCCATGTCGACGGCGGCCACGGAGCTCAAGGTGTCGATCGGCCGGCCGGTCGCCTGTCGCCGTTGGTCGCGAGTGAAGAAGGCTCAACGGTTGAGCCGCGGTGTTCATAGCTGGTTCTTTTTTTCAGCTATGCCGCAGCTTTTGGGAAACATGAGCCCAGTTTTGTTGTTTTTTTTTCAAGAACTGAGCTGGATGTTCACTGAGCGTTGATTGAACTTCTATCGGAATCTAAAGCACTTACATGCAGCGCTTACTGCGAACATGTTACCGATGTACAATGTACACTGATCAACAGACCAACAGACCACTTCTATCGATGTACATTGCATAAAAATGAGTGGCATCAAATCGACATCAAGTCCAAGACCTGGAAAGGCCTTGTATTTTAAGCTTACCACTGTCAAGTCGTCACAGATAGTCCAAGACCACTTCCAAGACCTTAGTCCTTAACCACTGTCAAGTTGACGACTCGGACATTTCCATGCAGGCCCATGGGAAGGGGAAACCGCATTTTTTGGCCTCTCTCATAGATCGCACAATCTCCACCTTTTCATGGAACTTGACATACAAACCAGGACCAACAAGCAGAAATGTGATGTTTGGATGTTTCTGGCAGCTAAGTGGTAGATGATCCCTGACAGAGGACACCTCCTGCCTAGCTCGATGTTCATCCACTTCCCCCTTCATCGAGCAGCCCACAATTGATCCCCTTTGCTGTTTTCTGATGGCCTCGAGAATGCGGATATGAAGGGCTCCCCTTAGAAGAGATTTCAAAGCTTGTCTCGAGTCTGTGTTTTTTTGTGGATTCAAAGACTTCGATCACAAGGTCATTGTCATTGAGCTTAATTCCTTGTGCATGTGAAGCGCAGCCACCTGCCGCAGCCATTATAGAGGCCATTTGAAGTTCCAACGTTGAAGGCAAAATACGTTCGTTTTGGTGCGCTCTTGCAATGGTGCGCGCTTTGCTCATCGTGTGGATGCTTGTGACCTCTGGTGTCGCTGTGCGAATGGGAAGTGGAGGTGCAGATTTAGAAGCAGATGATGAGTCATTTGCCGTGGGTGACATGGTTTTGATCCAGACGGGGAAGTACAAGTCCTGCCAGGGTGTCTCTCGGTTGGACACTGTTCAGTAATTGCATGGTGCAGAAGAAGAATTCAGGACAGAAAGAACAACTATAGCAGCTAATAGCTAGCAATGGGAGCAATTTGGGATCCTCGACTCTTTGGCCTGTCGCAACCTGTTTGTAGTGGCATCAAACTGCTGTATGATGCTGTATGTTTTGTTTTGTTTGTAGTCATCGTAACTGCAAGTCCTTCAACCAATTCAAACGGTCTTTTTTGTCATCACCAAACTGTTTTAATATTTCTAAACATATAATACTATCATATTGATGACTTTGTTTACGATAACTTCGGTGTGTCTTCTGCATTTTTCCTTTTGAAAGTTCTCTTGCGTATACGACTCTTAGGAAAGTCTGTCGCATGTATATTTTGAAAGCTGACAGTGAAAAAGCAAAATAGGTGTAAAGGCTGATTTTTGTTTAATACGAGCTCTTTGAAGGCTCCCTCGACATATTTTTAAAGGACAAAATCAACAAATATATTATTCTCTTTCCCTTTTTTTGCATCAAACAACCTTGTTTTTGGCTCCTATCTTCTGGCTTTTAAGAAAAATATGACGCCCAAAAAGAAATCATCTCAACTCTCTGCATGTTCTCTACTTCTTGTAGATCTATCTATGACATTGACTCAGACATGTATGCGAGAGGCAAACATGGTAGATCTTTGGGGGCTAGCAAACATATAATATATATATATAGCAGACATTCAAGATGTTAACGTTCTTTTTACAGACATATGGGTTGCATCTCGCATCAAGCATCCTAGACTCCGTTCCTCCGGGACATTTCTTTCCGGATCCGACGCACTGAGGAAGTGATCCAAATCTCTTCCAGTTCCAAAGTGAAGGTGCGCCGCCGCTGTGGCGATGGCCGCAAGGGTGATGGGAAGACGTGGTGGTACAAGCCTGGGCAAGTGGAAGAGATCGATGACTCTGAAGAGGAGGAGGAGCCGGTGGAGCCGCAGGAGGAGCGTTTGGGAGCGAAAAAACCGTGGCTGATGTGGGAGGCATTCTACACATCTTTAGTAGAAGATAGAGACCTGAGGATGACATAGGACGTAAGAAAGAAAGCTGCCGGATAACCCGTATACGAGCTGAAAGCTGATGCGTGGGAGCGGAAACTTTAGATGAGTGGCCAATAACAGATTTCAATTGGGGAATGAGCAAAGAAACCGAAGCCGCTGATTTGACTGTTGGCCAGAACATGTTGAAGCAAACTGCTAGATCGAAAGCAAACTCAAGCCACCTTAATGACTATAGTTGAGGTTTGCCCTTTCTGATGGTCAGAAGAGCCAAATACAAACTTGTGATCAGTACGATCGGTGGTGCATCAATGCTCGTACGGTGTGGTGCATCAGCAGATCTTTCGTTTCGAGTTTCAGAAGGAGCCCGCCCAGCTCGACCCTTTGGGCACAAAAGAACGAACTCCATATAGGTGGGCAGACATTCTTGCTTTCCTCACGACCCGTGGAGGCTTTGCCAGACATCTCTCTCATCATGGATGATGACTTCCGGTCCAAGCACAAGCTCTGTGATCGCTACAAGGACTGATCAAACCGACTTTCTGAAATCCTCCCGGCCTGTCTTGTTTGACGATGAACAGTTCACTGCACATCCGACCGGTCCTACCTTTAACCCACTTTGGACCGGACGGTGTTTGGCTTGGTGACTGTGCTGCATTCCTGAACAAATCCGGGACTCGAGTCACCACTCGAATCCCAAGACTTGGTTGCCCAACAGAAACTTCACCATGGATGTCCTGCCCCATCATGATCCCAAAAGCGTCGACAGACCATTTCACCTCTACTCGGAGCGATCGGACGCTACGAGCCGGGGCTCCTGGCCTTACTAGGAACAGGAAGCTACAAGCCGGGGCTCCTGGCATCGCTACAAACGGAACAAGGACGCTTGAATGATTTTCCTTTCGTAGATGCTTGGGATCCCAGGACCTGCCTCCCGTGGATCCCCGGGCCACACCGCCTCGCCTGAATGGACGGCCCGTGGTCCGGCGCGGGCAGAGCTTTCGACTCCAGCTGCAGCTGTCTGCGACGCAGCTGGGCCGAAGTCGGAGAGGCACGGGAAGAAGTAGGGCCAGACCTGCCAGACCTTCCAGATGAGCTGTTTGCCGGAAAAGACACATATAAAACATATAAAAACAGGGTCTCTGTAGGGAGTAGCAGGGATTGTCTGGGTTATGTGTCGATCAATGGTTGTCGCATTTGTTCGCTATTTCCTTCAGGTTCATGTTAATTATACACTCCGACTCACCAACCTGGAAGTGGAACCCCCCATGTTAGTTTTCGTCAGAGTATACAGTCACATACAGTCACCAATTATATATTTATTTCATTGTTGTGTTGATTCTATGTTGTTATATAATGTCGTATGGTAATATATGTAATGGACTATAAATTATAATGGTATAATATGATTAGATGCATTTCTTAAGCGGGGACTAGGATGACCATCGCTCCTGCACTGAGGAAGTCAGCTGATGTTCGACTCTTGCAGGGCGGTCAGATGGGCAAAGCAGAGCTTCGAGGAGGTGAAATCCATGTGGAGATTCCTGCTTGGGCACCCGTCGGGGAGTATGAGGTGCTAGCTCTCGACTCGAAGGACGCTACCCTGGCAGCTTGGTCGCAGCTAGGGCAACGTAACAAGGGCATCGCTACTAGCACCAATGGCATCGTCGCTTTTTATACAGTGGAAGGCAATCTCTGCGACCGAGTCGCCCTGTCAGCTTCCAAAGTGTGGTCGGATACAGAGAGGTCCGCCCGTTCGGTGTGGCACTGTGGCGAGGGTGAGAAAGGAGGGACCCACGAAGAGGGCGTTTAGGGTGACCCATCCTATCATCCTTATAAATTGATTGCTTTTTTTTGCACGGCGCCGTGGGCAACCAGAGGCCACCTTTGGCTTCATCGTGATCTTCAACCCCTTCAGCTGTCCCTCTTGCCCAGAGTACTCAGATCAGCACCAGGAGCAACTGGGTCCAACTGTGATTTTCTTTATTCACGTGTTTTTGTCTCCAAACTGGATTTCGGACCTTTGCCAAGCCTTGGTTGCTGTTGTCCCTTCATTGAGTGTTTGAGTCTGCATGCGGTTACACATCTCAAGCGTTTGGAGTCTGTTTTGTTGAGCGATTAGCGTGATGATCATCTCCCAGAAGGCTTGAACATGACAGACCATTTGGTCAGCAGCATATTGTTTGGAGCAGCGGCATCACCGACGACTCCGACACACCCAGAACACCGTATCCGGAACCAATGATTCCCATGACGCCACCAGCCCATCCAGTTTTGTGGTGATGGGCACCAGTTCTGAGCACAAGGGTATGACAGAAAAGGCATCAATTGTTTGATAACACAGAACTTGCCAAAACGTGTTCAAACGTTCAAACATCGCAAGTTTTGCATGGTTTTGCCATCCCAGGTATTTAGATGGCAATGAAGGTTTACTCTTCCAGGGCCTCTCAGATCATTACACGGCACCTGGGCAGCAGAGCAGGCCATGTGGGTTGAATATCATCCGGCCGAATCTGTGACCCAGAACTTGAAACGGCTCAAGTTGAAGAGACCCCCAACGGTCGAGCAGCTGGCAGCTAGATGGAAAGGCGACATTGACAAGATTCCTTTGCGTTTTTCCAGATACTTACGAATTCCGGTCGATTCCAGATAGATGCATCCTTTTTTGAGAGGCTTGTGGCACGACTCTGACAGAATCATGCACATTCATCTGTATACTTTTTCTTAAACGCACATAGCAACCTGAGCCCACAAACTGTGTTTGAAAATGTTTGAAAGACGCGACTAGTATGCTTCGACCCATGGTATCCCCGAGTTCAGTGTCTTTCTGGAACGAATCGAGTGGAACGCTTTTCTCCGTATGACGGTCTACTGCCTCTTGCTCCGGGCCGCGCGCGGAGCGTTATAGCGCGCGCGCGCGGAGCTGCTTCACGCGCGGTGAGGCCAACCATTGGTACCACGAGCCCTTCCGAGCCGCTAATTTGCTCATTGCCCTGAAGCTTCTCGGTTCCGATGTTCCGTTCGTATCGATCGAGTTTTGATCGAGGGACCGAATCACCGAGACCTGATTGATTGATTGGTTTATATTGGTTTTCTTTTTTGGGTTTCTGGGGGGTAGCAAATGGATGACTTGATATAAATTGATAAAAAGCTTCAACATGGCCATTGCGTAGGTCACCAGATGTCACCAGTGGTTCCAAAGATAGATACCGTATGATTCCGTATCATTTAGTTGCCCTTAAACATCCTATGTGCAAGACAGGGAGCCAAGTTGGTTCCGGTGCCAAGTGCCAAGGCTCCTGGATTGGCTGCCCATGATGCTCCGGGGCGACTTGACGGCGGTCACACGGTACCTCACGAATGCCGTGGGCGACAAGGTCCACCGGTGCCCCGAAACGTCACGGTGTCACCGGTTCTGGCCGGACTGGCCGATGCGGGACGATGTATGTTTTCATTCGTGGTTCTTCAGGTGCATGCAGGACCAGTTGTAAGCAAGCATAGAAGAACTGAATGTAGATCATGAGTAGATCATGAGGCCGCAAGACAAGCTCCCAATCTGTCAGTGAATATGATTAAACTTTAATTGAGAGCCCATCGCAGTTTACCCAGTTCTCTATGTCTTTTCCTTTGACCTAAGGATCCTGCCAATCGCCTTTGCTTTATAGGCTATCTAGGCACGCTAGGTAGACCATTGACACATTGAAGGAATCAGACCTAGCAACATCTAGCAACCCGACTTTTTTCAATTAGACTGCATGCTTTTTGGGGGAATATCCAATTCAGGGTCTGCTAGAACTAGAACCTGTTGGGGCCTGAAAATTGTCAGAGCTGCTTCCACTTGTTGATGACACGTGACCGCGACAAGGGTTTCAGGTGGTTTCAGATACATACTGTAGTACATGGAACTATAGCTGTGCATTCTTTTAAGTAGAATCTGACCTTGTTCTTTTGAAAGTCTACGCCCCTATGCCTGGGGGTTTGAGGATGATCGAGGGGGAGACTGCAGGTGTTCGGTTGCAGTCGCGGACCAAGTTCGCTTTGGACCGCGGCCAGGTTTGCTTTGGGAAATGGGGTGAAGGAGACTATGCTGGTGGCAAACCTGATGGGGGCTACAAGTGCAGATCGAAAAAATACGTCAAGCGTCTGGAAGCTCAGTGAGGAACCTGCTCAGTTGGGTTTTCTTTCCGTTTTCGATTCGGAAGAAGGATGATTTGCCTTGCCTTCGTCTCGCGAAAGGGCATGTTCCATCGGACAACTCTTTGTCATGGAGGGCCCACCGCGCCGGAGAGGCATCCACTCGGGCCAATGTAGAACTCAGAACAGAAGCGGCCCTGATCGTATGTAACTCTTCAAGTTCTGCATGGCACTGCAGACCAAACTCTTCCTTTTCTTGCTTCTTTGTTTCTAACAGCAATGGTCTCCAACCTAATAGTGATGGCCTCCAAAACGTATGTATATATATATATATATATGGCCTCCAGCCACGAAGATGCCATCAGGGAAGCAGGCAAAGGAAAAGGGAAAGGGCAAGACCGTCTTTAAACAAACGTGACACTTTCTTAGCAAACATTGACTTTTGAGAAGAGTCAAAAATCTTTTTTTTTGAGAATGCCCCTGCAAATAATAGGTTGCAGAAACGTCCTTTCTTTTTCATGGTCACGCAGTCTGATGGTGTATATTGCTTTCTTTGGATATTGCTTTGGCAAACAAAGCTATGTACGATTCATTTGGACATCCAAGCCAAGGGAAGTTTCCCACATCCACTCCTCGTCCACTCCCCCACATACACGACCTCCGGCATTTGGGCGAGGTCGTGCAGAGAAGTGGGCGCATACATGTCCCTTGGCACAGAATGGCAACTCTGCTGACGGCACGCAACATCGAAGGCCGCCGCCCCCGGTCATAGCGGACTCCCCCGGTCACGTGACCTTTCGGGGGTCGGGCCGGGCGTGTGTCACGTGCCGCCACTGTCAGACGGCGGGATCCCCACGCATCCGTGGGATCGGTGTCTCGGTCGTCTGGAGATCGACGTGTCTGGGACTGCACTGCCGCCCCAGAAAGACCCCCAGTCAACCACCATATATATAGGCATATATATGGCAGTCTCATGGAGTGTCTGGGAATTTGGAACGCACAGGGAAGAGCTTGATGTCAAAACCCACATGCCAAAGTGGAGGAATCCTAACTGGCAACTTCTTCCTTCGACCAAGGTACAGGTTCAGATGGGAATTCCTTTGAGACGGTAGCAGGCAGGCTCCTCTTGCAGTTCAGATCTCAAACCTCTATATAAGACGTATTGTCATATTCCCTCCAGCAAACTAAGAGGCACTCAGGAAGAGCAGATGTCGTTAGTAACGTAAGACGTAATTGAATCTGGACCCACCAGTTTATGCGTAGTAGGAGGGGTGCTTTTGTTTCAGAGTGCACCAATTGACGTACGTGGAAGCGGGCAGTATACCATTCTTTTTCCTCACAGACACCCACTGCCTGGAACGGGGCCCAATGAGGTCATGACCCGACATCTTGGACTTCATCTTCACCGATCCTGGAGAAGCATTGGGGCTTGGTGCAATCCGGTGTGCCATCAGCCGTTCAATACTGCCAATGCTTTGATGCTCGGTCAAATGAGGAAGGCCGTGTATAGTAGTTTCCCGTGACGTACGTGACGGGGCGTCCTGGTCTTCTCCAGCCACTCCCTGCTTCCATTGGCGCAGATACCCACACATACCCACACCGACCAACGAACAAAAATCTCGTGAGCAGAAGAAAAAGCGTTCCGTGCTGAAGGTGTTCTCTGGTGTCCTCACGACCATTGGTCGAACCTTGGGCATCGCCACGCGTTCCGTCACCAACTTCCAATCCGCGCACGACGTGAACTCCGATCGGGGCGTCTCCAAGTTCTTCTTCACGACTCCAACGGGCGTTTGGGAACCGGTGCCTGGGCAGTACGATCGGCTCCTTCGAAGCAGATGTGGACGGTCAAGTGGACCAGCTGAAGGCATCACTTGGGGTACCTGTTTGGATCTAATTTTGTGTTCTGGTCATTTCTGGTTCCTGGATCGGGGGAACTCCGAGAGACTGGAGAGTGTGCCGGCCGGGACACAACTCCATCAAGTGGTCGGTGCCGGCCTATGTGGTGCTTTCATTTTTCTGTTGATCAGGGAAACTAGACATTTAAAGAGAGGCATGCGGCATGGTCTAGAAAGCTCCGCCTGCCTGATGGGCGCGCAAGACCCTATTTAGGCCCTGATTAGTCTCCAAGCATGAGATCCTCAAACTTCCCCCGTACAATTTCGCCTCAGTGGCTCAACTTCCTCGGGCAATTCCAGCTGGCGGGGAATATTGGAGAGCAACCCCGGATGGTTTCATGAGAACAGGCGTTTGAAGATCGATGACACGTTCACGCGTGAGTTCACACGTTCCGCAGAATGTGCGGTTGATCGCGTTCGCCGAGAGCCGATGTCTTCGCTCGAGAGCCCGCCCAGACTCGAATTCCTTCGACTCGGGGGGTCGACGCTCAGCAGGCGTCGAATGATGCCAGAGCAGTTTGCAGGTGGAATTCTCAGATACTTTGTGCCCTGCCTGGTGCGAAAGCGCCAAGAAGGCCAAGAAGAAGAAGTGCAACCTCAAACGCTGCTCTTCAGCGTCACTCCGCTTGAAGATGTTTTTGGATGTTTTTGGCAGTGTTTGGGATTTGGAACGTGTGTGGGGTGCAAGGCACTCCGCAAAAAAAACAGTGGAACCACATGGAGGTTGAAGTTGGATGATCCTCACTTGTGCTGTTCATCAGCTGATCCAGGTCGATAGCGTCTGACCGGCCGGGTCACAAAAAGAGCTGCCAGATATGCAGACGACGATCCAGTGGGCAAACAGTCCAGTGCAGTCCAGGTAAACAGCATTAAACAGCTGTATACAGTATACATACAATATTCATACTGATGCCCCAGTTGAAAGGGTAGTATGCACGTAAATATTGCCAGGCATGTAGACATGAGAAGTGTGGCATGAGCTGCCCTACTTTGGATGAGTTGCACAAAGCAAAGTGCAACAGTTCTGCTCCAAGGTTGCGCAGAGGTGTTGGCTTCACTGGCCGCTGCAAGGCATGCATTCCTTGTGTGCCATGCGAAAGCTGCTGGAGCTGCAAGAATCACACAAAATTCTTGGAGTCTAGGGATCAAGTTTTGATGGACCGCCCTATTACTGTATGTTGCAATTCAATTTCCTGGGACCACGAGCTATCGTCAGTACATCGCCCACAAAAAGAGCTGCAGATCCAAGCCACCCTGGATCCAACCGAAGCCGATGGCCTTTAGGGACTGGCGTGATAGTGACAGTTGCCTCCAGGCAAGAGGCTTCCCAGACAAGTCTTTTCCCTCAGGATGACTCTTGAACATGACTCTTGACTCTTGAGACTGTGGACCCATGAAACATCGACTAGTAACTGAAGCTATTAGGTTGGAGGCCATTACTACTAGGTGCTAGAAGCTACTGGTAACAAGAAGCTACTAGGTTGGAGGCCATCGCTAGTAGGTTGGAGGTGCGCAGTACTTCAGAGCGGATCTTTGTGGCCGCGCCCAAGCTGAGGGTTTGCACCGCAAAAGGGTGACCGCCTGGGCAAACACAGTAATAGAGCAGATATGACGTCGCAACAGTCCTTCTGAGGGATTCTTGGGACTAAAACACACCAAAACTATTCATGTTCGGCTGATCAGTGAGATTGAAACCCGCAAAAAGAGACAATGTGACTTTGGGCTCTTGAGTGCTGTCTGGTCACACATTGTCAAAGCAACTTTTCGTGACTCTAACCACCACCACGACCACCACCACCGCCACCTCCACCACTTATGAAGTTTCAATCCTTCAGTCTATGGTTGGTTTATCTCCTAAAATTAAGTGAAATACCTAGTGAACCACGTTTGTAAAAGAACACACCTGCCGCCCTATCCCTGATGCAGATGATGTTTCCGCCGCCCAATCCCACACTTCGTGTCATCCGAATTCTACAAGCAGTTGCGACTTTTACACTTCTCGATTTTAGTGCCTCTTCAACAAGGGCGGAGAAGGTTCCATTAGGTTGAAACGAAAACTGGACAAACTCCCGCGAAGATGGTATGTATGACGTCATAGCAAAAAGGGACTGTCATCAGGCCATGGTTTGGACACATGAATGTGTGTCTTTGAATGAAGGTTTGTATGTCGAAGGGCTGGAAACGAATCAGCTCTACCGAATAACAATATTCTTAGTCCCTTCCGTGGTTTTTGGCACTCAAGGTCGGGAGGACAGCATCTGGTCTTTCCACGTCTGGAATGAGATGTACTATGCACGTGGGAATGGGCAGGAATGGCAGGCAGGTTCTGAAACTTTCTTTTTTCTTTCAACCCGTTTTTTCCTCTGAAGATGACTTCTCACAGCTGTTCTCACAGCACTCGGCCTGACTGAACCTGATGTTCCACAGCCAGGCCTTGGACGCTACGCCGCAGGAGATGTCGGGTGGCAAGTTCCAGATGGGACCTGCCTCGGTCCCCGAGGTGCGGCACGGCAAGAGCGATTGCTATGATACCGACTTTGTCCCCCGGACGCAGCCGGGTCGACGCGTGGGACGCCCGCGCTGCGAAGTCGGTGGTCCCGATGTCACGAGGTGTCGCGTGGGACACCACGCGGCACATGGAGTTGGTTGATCCGAGCTGGATAGTTTCAACATGTTCAACGCTGGCAATTGGAGATGGTCCCTTTTTTTTTCAACCATTTGACCGAATGCCTGTGAGGGCGGCTCTGGTCTTGTGTGGGGAGAACTGAGGTCATTGGAGAAGTCAACGGTGATACCAAGCTTTATGACACCTGGCAGAAGAAGAGGTCCATTAAGGTCTTTCGCACGTCCAGCATGGTCCACACGTGGGCCACATGTGGGCCACATGTGTCAAGAGGGCTGGAGCATTCCTTCAAGAGTCCAACGTTGAATGAAGTGCTTAATGGTGAATTGGTCAAGAGCTGAGCTGAGTTCCTTTTCGGCCAATCTTTCTCGTTTCATGGCTTTACTTCTTATTGTGCGCAGTTGTTCAAAAAGCCACCGGATTCGCATGGATTCACTACATCTTGAATCATGAGGTCTACCAGGTGCCAAACTTGGATGAAGACACAAAGCAAAAGGCCATTGAGAAGGGCGAGTTCATGTTACACTCAGGAGAGGTGGTCCACGGTCCTTCGTTTCACGACGGAAACGACGGGTTCACGACGAGACATCTCGATCTACGGACGTCGGAGGACGACCATCAAGGCATCGACTGTGGAGGTTTGACCATCAGACCAGGTCGCATGGGCGAGATGGGTCAGCTTCGACGGGTTGGTGACCTGGGTGTTTTTTTTATACTTTGGGGGGGTTTATCTCGATGGAGCGGATGATCCTCAAAGTCAACATAGCAACCCAGAAATCATTCACAAGCAAGTCAATGCCACACCCCAAAAGGTCCATTGAGGATAAACTTTTATTAATTTTTGGCCAACAAGCAGCCAAAAAAAAACAAAAAGGCCTCAAACCACCACGCTGAAGAGTTGAAAAGCTGCTGGGCCAACTCAAAAATGTGAAAGCTGCACTTTTCATCCTTTGCATTTTCATCGTCGTCATCATTGTTGCTATTAGCTGAATTATTAGCTTCTATATAGCTGCTAGTAGCGATGCCCTTGCTACTGCATTTTCATCGTCTTCATCATTGGTCTCCTCTGCTTCGGAATCATCTCGATCATGTCTGTCGCCAGCTTTCATCTGAAAAAAGAACCGAAGAGCCGAAGCGTTTCCTTTGGGAGTATGGTAGTGATGCACGTAAAGTCTTCAGGGACCTCCTTACTTCGCGTAAGCTCACATTGTGGTCGCGTATGTCAAGCGCCAGGAGTGTATGAAAGTTGTACGACATAGGTTCAATCATTCTTGCAGAGCTCGGGTGGTTTCGGAAGAGGGTTTTCGTCTACTAAGGTGGGTGCCAAGTTTGTTTTGGCAGGCCTAACACCTATTTTTTGTTTGAATACGATTTGTACAAGTGATCCCTTGTGGCATAGGAGGTAGAGGCAAGCCCCACTGCTCTTAACACAGCTAATGTTGGATCCTGATTAGTAAAGGGCCCCCCCCTCTCAAACAAATGAGGTTCCTCTATAATAAACTACCCCCAAAACAAATCTGGATTCCTGTGAGGATTCCTTTTGTAATTGATTGTAATTAGTATTCAGCTTCCTTTCTCAGGTGCTTTGTAATTGTTCTCAGCAATCCTTTTGCTTTGCAGCCTCAGATCTTCAGCTCAAGAGAAGCCCCAAGCTTTCAGCTTCTTCCTCAGCTTCCATGGCTTCCTAAGTAAAGGAAGATTCTGTGAGCAGTTTTTTCCAGTGGAAAAACTTTTCACAATTGAGAACCCCAAAGCAAATCTATTATTGAGGATCAGGTGCCTTCCTGGTCTACTACCTTGA